GTTCGTGAAAGAAGGTTTGGGCACGAGTTCGGGGTAGATTGGACGAAGTTGGGGCGTTTGACGAAAAGTTGGAAAAGCCACGCGCGCATGCCTAAAAACCCACATGGTCGTGTGACCTGGCCGTGTGACACCAAATTGCACGGGCAAGCCACAGTGGCCGTGTGGAAAATCCAGGGAGCTCACACGGGCACGCCTAAAAAGACACACGGCCGTGTGGTCGGGAATTTCTGGGTTTTAACCCAATTTCGAGCAAAAGGAGAGGGGATCGACTTTTTGGAGCAAAAACAGAGCCCTTGAGAGAGAAAGTGCGAAGAACATCCCCTAAGAGTGGTTTTGGAGCTGGGTTTCATCAAGCAAGCTAGCTTGGAAATCATCCTTGGAGTGGAGATCGTCATCCCAGAGCAGATTCCTCCCATTGTTATGAGTATGACTGCTTTGTATTTTGTTTCCCTCTCTCTCTCTTTGGAGTAGAACCTTCTCTCACTCGGGTATGAAGAACCCTAGTTCCATGTGTTAGGGATCTTGATTGTAATGACTTGGGATTGTTATACTGTATGGTTTTAATCAAATGATGCATGATTCATTGAATCAATTGAAGTCTGATCATCTTTTCTTGATTTCTGCTACAACCTGAGATAGATAGAATCTAATTAGGTTGTTAGAGCTTCATCATTCGGTAGTGGTAGATTGGTTATACGAAAATTAATCAATCTACTGCTTTGTACTGGAATCTAATTCCAGTAGTGGAGTTCTGTGTTCATTGCCTCAGCGTTCTATCCCGGTCAAGACTAGTCGTCTGCCGTGTAGTTTGACTAAGAGGGCTTGGTCAGCTTAAGAGATTCCAAGCTACTGTCGGATCTTCTGCAGTATAATCAGCAGTAAAGCAACCAAAAGTAATTACAACTGTGACCTAACTAAGGAGCTAGGGGGATTCATTCCCGAGTGACTCTTCCTTTGCTTTAGAAAACCGAACCATTCACTGCTTTCTTACGGCTTTTAGTTAAAACCACAATCAATCGACTTAGTTGGCTAGATAATAGATATTCACGGAGTAGGCAGTAGATCTAGACCCCGGGTTGATAATTAGAACTTGCCACTTTACTGTATTTACTGACTGCGATTACACTTGGTCGCAGTTTGGTGTTGTGTTTTAGCGTGTCACATACAGTCACTAGAACTCGGAGGAAAAGAAACTTTGTCGCTGTCCTGCATATTGAAAATGGTGACTAGGTTACTGAAGAGAAGGGGAAAGCTGACATCGCCTGTCACTTTTATCAGCAGCTTTTTACCTTGGAAAATCAAGTGATGAATATGTCTGATCGGGTGGCGAGTCTTTCAATCGCTCAGAACGTAACCCTGGAGATGAATGCTATGATTACGGCGGAGGTTATGCCCCAAGAGGTTCGAAAGACGGTTTTTGCCATGGGTTCCAAACAGGCTCCTGGATCTGATGGCTTTAAGGGGAAATTTTTCAAGGCCTTTTGGGATATTGTTGGCGATTTAGTGATTGAAGTTGTCTGCTCATTCTTTTCCACTAGTAGGATGCTTAGGAGCTTCAATCATATGTGGCTGACATTGATACCCATGGTGGAGAATGTTGAAAATATGAGGCAATTGCGGCCTATCAGCTTGCGGCAATTTGTGTACAAAATTATTACTAAAATTATGGCGGCTAGGTTGGCTGATATCCTTCCGAGAATTGCATCTGGAGGGCAGAATGCGTTCATTCGCGAAAGGCAAATTATTGAGAAAATCCTGATAGGGCACGAGTTGATGCACTATTTGAAGATCAAGACACGCAGCAAGAAAGGGTACATGGCTCTAAAGGTTGACATGGAAAATGGCCTATGATAGAGTTGAATGACCGTTCTTGTTTGCAGTCTTGGAAAAAATGGGATTTAATTCCGTGTGGATAGGTTGGATCCATGAATGCCTTCGCTCAGCTTCTTTCTCGGTCCTCATGAATGGTACCCCTTTGGGATACTTCTCGCCTTCCCGAGGGCTTAGACAAGGGGACCCTCTATCTCCTCTTTTGTTTGTGCTCTGCACGGAAGGCTTTGCTGCTATCCTTCACAAGGCAATAGCTGATAAGCGGTTGGGAGGTGTGAAAGTTGCTCCTCGAGCTCCTCGTATCTCGCACCTGTTCTTTGCTGATGATTCTTACTTGTTTCTGCGAGGTAATCTCCAGGAATGTGAGAATCTGATCGAAGTCTTGAATGAGTATGAGGAGTTAAGTGGCCAACGTGTGAACTTGGACAAGTCAGCGGTTTGCTTTAGTAAAAACATAGCCCAACGCACTAGGAGTTTTTGGCCGCGATTCTGAGGGTGGGCGCGGTGGGGGTTCATGATAAGTACCTGGGGTTGCCGACTCTGATTGCCCGCTCAAAAATGGCTACCTTCCATTATCTGGAAGAAAAATTACTGGAGAAATTACAAGGGTGGAAGCAACATACTTTATCTTGGGTGGCGAAGGAGACACTGATTAAATCCATTGCTTTAGCTTTACCGTTGCATGTTATGTCCTGCTTTAAGATGTCGTTGTCCCTTTGTAGACTTCTTGATAAGCACGTAGCTCCGTTCTGGTGGGGTGTGACTAATGATCAGTCAAGAATACACTGGTATGCTGGCGAAATTTGTGCAGAAGTAAACATGATGGGGGAATGGGTTTTCGTCGTTTTGAACATTTTAATCAGGCATTACTGGCTAAAATCGGTGGCGAATCCTCCAGGAGCCCCAGTCCCGGCTGGCTCATGTCTACAAAGGTAAATATTTCCCGACGGGGACGTTTCTGCAAGCCCAAGCACGATCGAGCCCTTCTTGGGGATGACAGAGTGTTCTTTTTGGAAGGCAGTTGCTAGAAAAGGGCTTACGCTGGCAAATTGGCAATGGGGAGTCGGCATCGGTGCTTTTCTCGAATTGGATTCCTCAAATGCATCCTGACCTGCCGATGTTTAGCCCTCAAGTGCTCCCGGAGGGTGGTGATCCACTAGTGGCGGAGGTTATCAATCAGAATGGGGAAGGGGGTTGGTGTGCCACTAAACTGAACCAATCGTTTGATCCACTTATCTGCCGTATGATTCAATCTATTCCTCTTCCGAGGCAGAATATGCCATATAGTCTTATTTGGCATGGCACACCTGACGGTGTCACTGTCCTTCCTCGTTGCCCGGTCTGCTGGAGGGAATCAGAAATTATGGAGCATTTGTTTCTGGATTGTCCAGTGGCTCGGGCCCTGTGGGACTACTTGGGATTGGAACATCTCGGCCAAGGATTGCCTCGCCATACTTTTCCCCTGTTTCTCAAAAGACTATTTGCCCTAATTCATCATTCATCTCTTGTCATGTCGGTAGTGGCTGTTCTTTGGAGGATTTGGAAATCCCGTAATTGGGTTGTCTTTGAAGGAAAGCAATTTGGGTTCCCTGCCTTGATGCGCCAGTTTCACCAGCAGTGTGCGGAATTGGACAGATTGTTTGCAGAAAGGGCGACTCCGGGTCTGAATCCTATTCTCCATTCTCCTGGCTGCCTGAGGTTTCCTCGCTGGTATGTATGTGGGATGGGGCTACGAGAGCTGGATCCCATTCGGCGGGTGGGATGGTTTTTCTTGGCCCCCATAGGGAGATCCTCCTAGCTCAAGGGTTCCAGTATCGGGCTATTGATGATCCTCTGGTGGTGGAAACACTCGTCCTCTGGGAGGCTATCTCCTGGTGCGTGGCTAATGGTATCCAGGATGTGAGATTTGAGGGCGATGCCAAGGTCATTATCGATAAGATCAATCAAGCGGAGACCAGGGATAGTACGGTTGGGATGATTTTGTCTGAAATTAGGCGATGTATTGAAAATCACCCTGGGTTTAGTTTGTGATTTGTAGGATGGAGTAACAATAGGGTAGCCCATGCGGTGGCTAGAAAGGCCCTTTCTTTGTACCCGTCTACGTGTCATTCTTTTAATTTTCAGGCCTGGCTGTAGTCCAGGGTGTAACTCTTCCTATCTTGAATCAATATATGATTATCTTTTGTAAAAAAAAAAGCTCCTCCGATAGCTCCAAAGCATCAGCTCAAGTTTCCAGCCCCTGAGTACTAACAATATGAAATGATTGAAGCACCCGCAATGAAATCTTGTAAGAATTAAACGAGATGGCACAAGCGAAAAAAGGGAGAAGTTATTTTAAAGTGGAATGAAACCGGTAAATTTATTCACATGCACATACTATGACAATGATCCTTCTACGATTTTTTTTATTCATTATGTTTCATTATGATTTTTCTAACTATGGCACACGCACACAATACATACGAAAAGGAAGGGGAAGATATGAATGGGTTTTTGGATGGGTGATTTGGCAACGAGATAATGTAGATCCAAATAACTCATTTTTCTAATTGTGGTATTTGTGTGTTATTTGAGAAATTGAAAGTAAAATTATCTTATTTGGATAAATAAATGTAATGGGTTATTTCATTTGATGAAAAATACCATATTGCCCTCACAAAAAGGATAAATATGCTTTTTGTTTTTTTTATTTATCCACAAGAACTTCTGGATTGCTTTCCACAAGAATCAGACCACCTTGCTTTTGACAGATAGTTCCAAGTACAATTAAATTGGATAAACAAGTAAATATTGCATTCTAAGAAGAAAGAGAACGGAGAGGGATCCAAATCCAATTAGCTCCACCGCCTAAGAGAGGGATCCAAATAGCTCAACTACTGTAATGACCCAGAACTGCTAGTGACAACTGGAGACAATTAGCGGATAGTATAAATACCCAAAGGGAAAGTATATTAGCTATCTTGGAGAATAAGTCAAAATTTGGTTAGAATAGCTATTACTTTGACAATTCTTCTAGCATCTTCCCTGTAATTCTGCTTCTCTGTTTTGCTGGAATAAGAGATTACGATCCTCCGACCTTACAAGTGGTATTCAGAACATTTCTTCCAGCAACAATGGCGCCCGAACAAACGCACAATACTCGCCTCTCGGTTCTTGAGGAGTAGATGACTTCAGTGGATGCGCAAATGAGTTCCGTCGTCGCGTCGATCACCGCTCTCCAGGACACTCAGATTCACCATTCTCGGTTGTTCAAGAAGATTGAAACTTCGTTTCAAATGCTTCTCAATCGATCGCCTCGGCCGTCCTCTCTGCATGGCTATGCTGAATACAGCGATCGGAGTTTCGATCGTCATCAGCATCCCCGGTCTTCCGTCACTGATCATTATCCGCGGATTGATCTTCCTTTCTTCAACAGTTCCGATACTCACTCTTGTCTCCATAAATGTGCAAAGTAAATCCAGATCCATTCGATTTCTAAGGCTGAGAAGGTGGAGGTGGCCTCCTTCTATTTGGAGGGACGCGCGAATGTGTGGTATGAAGGTTGCGCGTGCAATAGGCAGTTCTTGCCTTGGGATGTCTTCGTTGGGGATCTCCTTTTCCGATTTGGCGATAAGGACCAGATGAACATCATCGGGGCTTTCAACAAACTTCGGCAAGAAGGTTCGGTGCCTGATTACCAGGAAGCCTTTGAGGATCTCCGAGCTTGGATGTTGCGATTGAATCCAAGTCTCACTGTATCTTATTTCATCATGAGTTTCATCAGTGGCCTGGAGGACAAAATTCAGCCTCGGTTGCAGATGTTGCTGCCTCAGACCTTGTCGATTGCTTTTCACCAAGCTCGATTGGAGGAGATGTTGATTGCGGCACGCAAAAAGAAGAATAGGCGGACATCGAAGTGGATACCCCCAACCGATCCTTCTTGAAACAAGAAATTTTCGGTGCAGTCGTCTTCCTCACCTTCTGTTTCAACCGATCGGCCAGACAATCCTAGCAGTCAGGGTCTCTGTTTCAAGTGTGGTGACAAGTATTTCTACGGCCATATGCATGAGAAGAAGAAACAGCTTCAAGTTCATCAGGCGAACGAATCTCCGATGGACAGTGATGAGGAGATCGTCGATCTGGTTCAGCCTTCTGCTACAGATGAAGAGGTTGAGGTGTCGATGCAGGCTCTTGGATCGAGAACGGTTGGTCGTTCTCTGCAGATTCCGGCGTGAGTAGGTCGACAGGAGGTGGTGGTTCTGGTTGACACCGGTAGTAGTCATACCTTTTTAAGTTGGGGTGTCATCTCGACTCAGCGCCGCCGATGAAGGTGAAAGTGGAGAACGAGGCCGCGTTACTGAGTAACTCAGTGTGTCGAGGGTTTCGTTGGAGAATGCAGGGTAACGAGTTCGAGTTTGAAGTTCGTACATTGGATTTGCAGGCCCATGACTTGGTGTTGGGCCTTGGCTGGTTGGAGTTGGTCAGCCCAATTTAATTGGACCTCAAGCAGTAGCAGATGTTTTTCCTTTGGAAGGGCAAACAACCTACTTTGCAAAGGTTGGTTGGGGAGGCCCAATGCAAGCTTTTATCCGACCAGTCTTTCCATCTACTGTTGAAGAAGAAGGTGGCCCAGTTTACATATCATCTTTTCTCTATTTCTCCAGTTATTTTGTCTTCTTCTACTCCATCTACCCCTCTTTTTCTTCAGCCTCCCCTGTCCCAATTTTCTGATGTCTTCTCTACCCATACTACTCTTCTCCCTTCCCGTCCCTTTGACCATTCTATACCCATTGATCCTCTGTCCAAACCTATAAACATCCGTCCCTATTGTATTCCCCATCATCAGGAAGCTATCATCGACAAGTTGGTCGGCGAGATGCTTGTGTCCAAGTTTATTCAGCCGAGCCAGAGTCCATACGCCGCCCCTGTTTTGTTGATTGGAAAAAAAGATTGGAGCTGGCATTTTTGCATTAATTTTCGTCTCCTCAACTCCATTACCATCAACAATAAGTTTCCCATCCCCATTATTGATGATCTGATTGATGAGCTCTATGGGCAAAATTTTTTCGAAATTGGATTTAAGGGCAGGCTACCACCAGATTCGTATGAAGCCGGAAGATCGTCATAAGACTGCTTTTTGGACTCATGAGGGGCATTATGAATTTTTGGTGATGCCTTTCGGCTTAACTAATGCCCTGGCGACTTTCCAAGCTTTGATGAATCATGTTTTTGCTCCTCACCTTCGCAAGTTCATCCTCGTCTTTTTTTGACGACATTTTGGTTTACAGTCCCACCGCTGACCTTCATATCGAGCACCTTCAGCAAACTCTCCTCCTACTTCGTGAACATTAGCTTTATGCCAAGCTTTCAAAGTGTTCGTTTGGGCTTCCCCAAGTTGAATATCTCGGACATGTGATTAGGGAGTCCGGGGTCTCCACTGAGCCCAGCAAGATCGCCGCGATGATGAATTGGCCACAACCAAAGTACGTCAAGGCTCTGCGAGGCTTTCTCGGCCTTACTGGGTATTACAGGAAATTTATTCGCCATTACAGCATAATCAGTCGGCCTCTGATGGAGTTGTTGAAGAAGAACTCATTCAAATGATCCTCTGAGGCTTCTGATGCTTTTCTTTCCTTGAAGTCAGCAATGAGCCGCGCTCCTGTGTTGGCTCTGCCGGATTTCACTCTTCCCTTTACGCTGGAAACTGACGCTTACGGATCGGGGGTGGGAGTCGTTCTTTCTCAGCAGGGCAGGCGCATTGCTTACTTCAGCAAAGCCTTAGGGGTGAAGAATCAGGGCTGCAACACCTACGAGAAGGAGTATTTGGTTGTTCTCATGGAGGTTGATCAATGACGTCATTATCTAGAAGGGTGGCCATTTACCATTTTAACAGATCACGAGAGCTCGAAATATCTGTTCCAGCAAAAAATTCACACCGAAATCTAGAAGAAGGAGTTGGTCAAGCTCCTCGGCTTGGACTTTCAGATAAAGTATAGGCGGGGGAAGTTTAACGGGGTTGTGGATGCCATTTCTCGTCGGTTTGATGGTGATGAGGAGCTGGGTGATTGTTCGGCCCTATCTACAGTCCTCCCAGAGTGGTTGGTTGAAGTGGAGAAGACATATGTTGGTGATCCATGGGTTACCGACAAGATTGCGGAGGCTGTTTGTACGCCATCCGGGCTTTCCTTGTGGTCATTTGCACAGGGCATTCTCCGGTACAAAGGGGTGATATATTTCGAACCATATGGTATGCTCATTTTAATACCAATCAATACCTCCATGATATAGACTAGTAAAGAATGACTCAATTTTTTTGTTCAAAAAATATATCAATGTGGATATCATTTTGAAGAGCACAATTAGTCTGATCTAACTGTGCAAAAAAATTAAATTTTGACTTAAAACGAGAGAGAAATCATCTGTTGAATATTAAGAGGGAAAAATTAAAGGCTATCTATGAGAGAGAAGGTGCGCTAATGTGGCGCATTGGACTTGGATTATGCATGGTTATTGACCATAGAGTTATGCATAGGATCCGTTCCCATATGTTGGGCATGCCGCTGTGATGGAGGGAAAGTGAATGGCGACCGACGGCTGAGTAATACATATTAGAGGAGGAAAACAACAAATACAACATCACCCTCAAGATGAAGAGCATCCTTCTTCCCCGTGCATCAAAAGGCATAATAGAGAAAAGATCTACGCAAAGGGACTAGAAGGCTCTAAGGAAGAAAAGAAATTAAAAGTCTCCAATTGTTACTGTATGTAGGAGGAAAACCCTCTTCGGTGGCGATTTTCTGGGCTCTTAGCCGCTTTTTTGCATCCTTTTTGAGAAAAACCCACAAATTGTCTTCGGATTGGTTCATCGCAACCTAGGGTTCCGCCTACTCAATCTTATCTCCATGCTAAAAGGAATCCAAAATTAGAATTGATTTTGCCTCATTGATTTAATTGCCTAACAGAAAATAAAAGGATTCAAAGAAAGGAGAGAGCAGAAGAAACTTGTATGTCACTAAGTGAAGGAGGAAAGAGAAAAGTGGCGGAGGACAAACTTTGGAAGAAGAGGCCAATACGTTATTTCAAAATAACTAGGTAACCTCCAGTTATTGTCAATACCGTGTTTTTGAGTTATTTACAGATAACTCGCGCTCAAATAACTCATCACTCTATTTTACACCCAAATGAGTTATTCTGGCCTAAATAACTTGTTGTGAGTTATTTGGGCCAGAATAACTCGTAGAAATACCCCATCCAAACGACCCCAAGAGAATAACACCACATATTTTTTATAGGAGGGTTACGAAGAAAAATAAATTACAATATAAATGTAAACAAATTAAAAAAAGTATCAAATTGATTAACTGGTTATCGTTTCATCATCTTAAGGCAGAAGTTTAGCATTCCATTGCCACAAGTAAATGAATCATGCAAGAGTGGGAATACCAAATACGCCAAGGTTGGGTGGATCAGTTACGATCTATATATACATTCTAAACTTGGAAGGCCTGAAATTGACATTGTAGAGAAACAAAATGGTTCATTATATTTAAATAATAAAACTCAAAATTCAACTATACAAAGCGTTTGAAACACACGATTTTCAACAAAAATTGTAGGTGAGGTGTTTGGCCGCTGTGATGATGACTCATCACGCCCCACTTCTGTGATATTCATATTCACTAATGAGGAATTAAATAGAGAAATATAATGATGCATGTGCAGATGGGAAACCACCGAACTTTAAACCAACAATCATAGACTTATATACCTTCTGGGTCTCACTAAGATATGAAGGAGTCAAGACAGTGTGTTATCGATGCAGGAGAATTGGACATAACCAACACAACTGTCCGTTCGAGTTAATTGCAACGGATGACGGCTTCGGCCCGGAAATCATTGGTAACAAGACAGGGCCAAAAATCAATGAATTTTCCTATGCCTCGGTTCGGAATGGTGGGCGTGGTAGGGGATCCAATGTCTGGAGACATACTGGGCAAACTGTTCGGCGACAAGAGGGAGCGAGATTGCTCCTGGAAGCCCCACCGCCACGTCAGTTTCAGGAACGAAACCGAGCGGACTTCCCTCCTTCGGCGGCAGGCAGAAACAATTCGGGAGGAAGAAGAAGACGAGGCCAGGCCCAGCCGTCTGCTCCTAGTCCAAGAGTCCCTAGGGATGGCTGTCTGGTTGGGCTCAAGAGGGCAGCCCATGATTCAAGTGCTGGGCCGAGTAGAAGGCCTTGTTTCAACAACCAAGAAATTGCAAGGTCAGCTGACAATGGGCCTCTAAAGGAGCCCAATTCCGAAAATTGCAATGGGCAAGCAATCAGTGATCCAACTTTGGAAAACCCAATCCCGTTGCAAGTGCAGGAGCCAACCCATTCCTATGGGCTAGGTAATTTATTTTGCGATGAAAATCCAGAATTTTTATTTGAAGATTTGGATGAAACTAACCCATTTGGTTATCAAGGAGATATGGGCCTTCTAAATCTCGAGGCCCACTTACTACCTTCAGAATCTGCAGTGTCATGTTCTCCGATCGGTCCGGTCGAAAATGGGAAGTCAAAAGGCAAAGCCATCCTGGTTGAATCCTCGGGATCTCCTATTGTCTACACTCGAAGAAATGTGGGAATATGTATTCAAGAACCAGAAGAAGGCGTGGTGGATTCAGCACCAAAGAACACACAAGGAATAAGGGTGGAGGAAGCCAACCCCAAGTGGCCCCAATCCGATAAATGAATGTGTTCGCGTGGAATTGTCAAGGTGTGAGGAGTCCCTTGACATTCCAAACGCTTAAAACTCATCGGTGTTTAGCTAAATCTTTTCTCTTCCTAAGTGAGACAATGTCTTCAAGAAGTACGGTGTCCTCTTTTATCTCCTCGTTAGGTTTTTCCGACTGTCATATTGTCGATCCTTCCGGAATGTCGGGAGGTTTAGTCTTTGCTTGGCCACGTTCGGCCTCAGTGTCTGTTATAGGGTCCACCCCCTTTTTTGTTGCAATTTCCGTCATCAATAATAACTCCTCTTTTTATGGTGTGTGCCCTCGTTTCGTTTTGATTGGAGTTTATCTTTCTTACATCATTTCAAAGAGACAAGAACAATTAGAGGAAATAAAACGATTCTTGTCCTGCATTTCTGATCCATTCCTAATCATAGGGGATGTCAATTGCTCTCTATATCCATCAGAAAAATTAGGAGGTGCAACTTGGCGATCAGACAAAGCTCGTCCTTTGTGGGATTTCTTACACCAAACTGGCCTCTTTGAACCCCCTTTTCAAGGGCCTAAGTATACTTGGACAAATAGAGGCAGAAATGGGATCACGATTGAGCAAAGAATTGATAGAGTATTTGTCTCCCCTTCTTGGATGACTTTCTGGCCAAATTCTTCTTTATACCACCTCTCTGATAAAGGGTCTGATCATCGACTCCTTCGTCTATCTACTAGTGTCTTGGCTCCTCATTTTAAAAGGTTATTCAGATTTGATATTCGGTGGACTTCAATGCCAGAGGCTGAGCTAATTATTAGCTATGTTTGGAACTCTCAAGTTACAGGATCTGTACAATATTGTCTGTTCTCTAAGCTGCTGCGAGTTAGGCACTCCCTAGTGGATTGGTGTAAAGGAGGGCAATCCAATTCAGCTAGACTGATTAACGACCTTAATACTGCATTGGAAAAAGCCAGAAACGATCAAAGGGTGAATTGGAATTTAATTCGATCATTGGAAGAGAACTTGTCCATCCAATACAAAAGAGAAGAGATCTATTGGAAACAGAAGTCTCGTACTAATTGGTTAAAAGTGGGAGATAAAAATACTCCATATTTTCACTTAGTTACCTCTTCAAGGCGTCTAAACAACATAATTTGGGGACTTGAGGATGAAAGAGGATTGTGGTGTACCTCGGAAGCTGAAAAATGTGGCATAGCCAAGAGGTACTATGAAGGGCTCTTTCAAAGTCAGAATCCGAGCGATATAAGTCTCTCCAACCTAGTTTTCACAAATTATCTTACAGAAGAGCAGAATCTTGGGTTGATGGTTCCTATCTCTGCAGAGGAAATAAAAAAAGTGGTCTTCAACCTGGGGAAAACCCAAGCTCCAGGACCAGATGGGTTCACAGCCGGTTTTTTCCAACACTACTGGCCAGTGGTTGGACAAGACGTTACTCAGGCAGTGCTTACGTTCTTTCATACTGGAAGACTGTTGAGAAGCTTTAATCGAACTTGGATCTCCTTAGTGCCAAAAGGGTCGGAAGTCCGTACTATGAAAAACCTCAGACCTATCAGCCTTTGCCAAGTGGTGTATAAGATTATTTCCAAAATTCTAGCCAATAGACTTAGCAAGGTCTTACCCTTAATTATTTCTCAATCTCAAAATGGGTTCATCAAAGATCGCCAGATTACAGATAATATTATGATCAGCCATGAGGTCACTCATCATATTAAAACCCTTTACTCAGGGTCAAAGTGTTGGATGGCATTGAAACTGGATATGGAAAAAGCGTATGATCGTATTGAATGGCCATTCCTTTTTGAAATGATGAAGGAATTAGGGTTTAATAGTCGGTTTGTTTCCTGGATTCAGGAGTGTGTGACCACTGTTTCATACTCCATCCTAGTTAATGGCTCCCCTTCCGAGTACTTTAGACCCTCGAGAGGACTTCGTCAAGGTGACCCTCTATCTTCTCTGTTATTTGCTATATGCACAGAGGGTTTTTCAGCAATGATAAATCAGGCAGTAACCATGAGACTCTTGGAAGGAATAAGGATTCGTCAGAACTGTCCTATGATTTCTCATCTCTTCTTCGCTGATGACTCTTACCTTTTCGTTGAGGCATCACGTGCTTCTTGTTCGAATCTATTATCATTGTTCCAAGATTATGAAAGACTGAGTGGACAAAAGGTTAACCTTTCCAAATCGGCAGTACTTTTTAGTAAAAATACTAAGGGAGAAGATGCGAGTCTCATGGGCTCACAGTTGGGAGTTGGCGCTATAGGAGAACAGGATTCTTATTTGGGTCTTCCTTCCTTAATACCGAGAACCAAAAAGGATACATTCCTGTATATTGAGGAGAAGATGGGCAAAAAGTTGCAAGGTTGGAAACAACGTACCCTGTCCAAAGCAGCTAAGGACACTCTAATCAGAACCTCTGCCACTAATATACCAGTTCATGGTATGATGTGCTTTAAATTCCCAATGGATACGTGTAGACGTTTAAATGGCCTCTTGGCAAGGTTTTGGTGGGGTTCTGCTACTAATTTTGATCATCCAATCCATTGGGTGTCATGGAAAGGTCTCGCCCAAAGTAAGTTTCATGGAGGATTAGGGTTTAGGGACTTTAGGGCTTTTAATCAAGCTCTTTTAGCTAAGCTATGTTGGCGTATTTGGTCGAATCCTAATTCTCTCATTAGCCGATTGTATAAAGGAAGATATTTCAATGAAAATACGATTTTGGAAGCAACCATAGGTTCTAATCCATCCTGGGGATGGAGAAGTATTCTTTATGGGCGAGAACTACTCGTGCAAGGCTTACGATGGCAAGTAGGTGATGGAAACAATATAAGAGCATTCAAAGATAATTGGTTATTAGCAGATAAGCCTTGTCCTCCTGAGCTGAGGCGGCAAGAGGATATTTTCAATCCAAGGGTTTCCTTTTTCATCAGAGAAGACCTACGGGAATGGCACATCCCTAGATTAAGGTACTGGTTCCAAGAAAAGTCGGTTGATCTCATTCGTAATTTGGTAGTTCCCTTACTTCCACAACAAGACAAATTAATTTGGCACTTTACCAAAAACGGAACTTATTCGGTAAAAACAGGTTATCATCTTGCCCTGGATAATATTTTAAATCTTAGCCAAAAATCGATGGCCTCCATCATTGACCCTCCTATTTGGAAAGGAATGTGGGCTCTTGATGTTCCACCAAAGCTTAAGTTCTTTATATGGCAATGTCTGAAAGTTATTTTGCCAACTACGACGGCTCTTAGGTCCCGAGGAATTAACTGTCAAGTTCGTTGTCCGGTTTGTTGGGATAGTCAAGAGACTATTGAACACCTTTTTTTCCATTGTCCTCCTGCTCTTCACCTCTGGAATATGGTGGGATTAAACAATTTACTTCTCTCCGCCCCAATCAAAAACTTCGGTATCTGGTGGCGACATGTTATGAAAACGGAAAACTTCCAAATCCACTATCTCCCCTGCATTTGCCTTCTTTGGAGAATTTGGAAATCTAGAAATAAAGTGGTCTTTGAATTTACTCAACCACTAGCCACCTTGCTTGCCCGCCAATTTTTCTTCCAAGTCCAAGAATATGCTTCAGTGTCTTCCCTCCCCCAGATCTTGTCTCCCCGCCCTCAGCCCTCTCGCATCTCCAGTTGGCTTGGTCCTCCCGACGGTTTTATCAAGATCAATTTCGATGCCGCTGTTCGTGTTCCGGGTTGCTCATCAGGTCTCGTCGTTCGAGGATCAGAGGGGCAAGTTTTTTTGGCCTTGGGATTCCACCATCCAGGAGTCTCGGATCCCTATCTTGCAGAACTGATGGCCGCCAGAGACGCCATCTCTTTAGTTCACTCTCGCAGTCTTCCTCTGGCCATCATTGAAGGTGATTCTGAAGTAGTTATCCGGCAACTTGATGGTAGATGCTGTGAAGACTCGGTGGGCGGGCCTTTGCTTCGTGATTGTTTCCAGTTATTGAGCTCTTGTTCTTCTTGTATTCGCTTTTGTTCGGTCCCGAGGACTGTCAACTGGGCTGCCCATAGAGTGGCAAGACAAGCCCTGCTGCTGTCCCCTGTAGAGATAGCGTCCTTCGATTTTGTAGGGTGGCTTCATTAATTGTCTTTTTGGGGTTTTAGGTAGAAGATTTAACTATTGTACTATGGCATTACTTGGAAAAAAAAAAAAAAAAACAACATAAAAAACAACCCGCACTTCATTTATATTCACCACCCGCACTTTATTAAACTTCTAGGTTTCATTCATGCTATGCTGGAGGTTGAATGATATTGTAACATGATTTATAGTGTTGGAACTGTGACGCGACAAATTGCTAAGGTGGGCATGCTTTCCAGAGGAGAAAAATAGAGGCATTCTAGTGCTTTCTGTCAGGAATTGGTAGGAAAGAATCGGATTGAAGGCGTGATTAATCACTCTCCTTAAAGTGTCATTTGTCCCCACTAAAAATTGTTGGTAGGCTCGAGCAAACCACCCCCAAGAGTCCCTTCAATTCTAAGTTTGGAAGCAGCAATCTTGCAGACTTCTGTATTTATGAAATAGAGAAGGAAAACGGGAAGAAGAAGAATTCTCTCATCATTAAAAGAGTTGTGGCAGTCATCTATTTATAGTTGTGAAAACTGGAAGTTACCTTCCAAAGAGTCACATCCCTTCATAGAAAAGGTAGTTACCTTTATGGAAGGACATATCCTTTCACAGAAAAAAGGGAGTTACCTTTCTGGAAGGACACTTCTTTTCACAACATTCAAACGTTAATTAATTAATATAAAATTAATTAATTAATTAAATTTCCAAAAGACTCCATCTTTATAATTTACTTCTCCCATCAATGTCGTATTACAACTCTATTGGCTAATTCGAACAATCCCCCACTTAGTCAACAAGAGTTGAGAATACCTGTCTCGAACAAGTAGCGCATACATAAAGGTATCTTTTCGATTTGTACCTTTACCTAGTGTAAGCAACTCAAAGTTGATAACGAATCAGTGACTGGCTTAAGCCTAGGAGTCACTATCCAAAGTTATAACCGGAGATGCCATGCACGTACTTGTCTCTTCTCTAAACCACAACCACCAACTAGGGTAGCATTATTATGGCCATGTGCTAATCCTGTTTCATGAGCATACACAAAAGTTGACCTGTACTTTTGTTAGAGCGTCACCACTCTAAATGCTCACATAGGTGACATTCCAAATGAATTCATTAAGAGTTCTATAACTCATCTCAAGAGTTCTATAACTCACCCTTCTTTGGACTAATTTACTTGTACAATAAATTAGTGCCTCTGTTAAAGTAGTTTGTTATTACCACATTGAACCTTTTAATTAGTGAATACCTAAAGAAAAGGTTGGGTTCCCATTACTTCTAACTACACAAAAGGTCTTAATCCCATCCCTTGGGATGTCTCATAGATCATGCCTCTTGGCTATCCCTTGGCAAGAAGATCTGCCAAATTATTGTTTGATCTTACATACACAATAGAAATTATTACATTAATAATCAAATATCTAACGTAACCATGTCTTAGGCTATTATGTCTAGACTTACCATTGTAAATCTTGCTATAAGCTTTAGACATAGTTGCCTCACTATCACAATGGACAGAAATGGCTAACATCGGTTGTGGCCCTGATTCCTTCTTCATTCACTCCCACACCCGACCCTCCTACCAAAAAATCTCTCAGCTCTGCTCCTTCCCGCACCCGAGCCTCCACCGTGCGGAGTTCAAGATCTGCCAGCTTCGACACCATCGCCCCCAGGCCCCAACCCAAGATCTGTTTCATGCCATCGCTTCCTTCGAAGCTTCAACCAAATACAAACATGCAGCGCAAAAACGATGAGGAGTAGAGGCGAAGGAGAAAAACAAACAAAAAATTCATGCATACTTAGATATTAAACATTACTAACCTCTAACCTTCGTTGCCGGAGTTGTCACAATCATCGATGTCAATCGCCATCGCCATCGCCGCTGGGTCGTTCTCTCCATCAATCATCGTCGCCGTCAGGTCGTTCTCTCCGTCAATCGCAATCGTTGCCGGCCTCTGAGTTCTTTTCTCCATCAATCGCCAAAGACGGGAGTCGGGAGGAGATATCACCACTACCCGCTTCTTTGTGCTCTGAGAACTGAGAGAGAAGAAGAAGAAAGAGAGAGAATTGGTTCTGCGTTTTTTTATTTATTTTTGGTAGATGGGGGAAATAGGGTTAAGTGGGGGAGGGTGAGAGTGAATTTTTTTTCATAAGCAGAGTGGGCTTTTTAGAAACTTCGGGTAGAGGCTTAAAACTGAACCGGGATTTATTTCCGTTCGAACTCGGTTTGCTCCATGAGATACTTCGGGGACCCAATATTCATCTATTCGGTTCGGTGCAAACCGAACCGACCGAACGCCCACCCCTACATGATATTGGATGGTCACCATCTACTAAGAGGTTGGATGGTATCGATGAATATGATATGGTATCATCCACTAAGAGGTTGGATGATAGCTATGATATAACATGGTCACCATCCACTAAGAGGTTGGATCGTATCCATGATATGAGATGGTCAACATCCACTAAGAGGTTGGATGGTATCCATTATTTGGGATGATACCATCCATTTAGGAGTTGGACGATATTCATTATATGAGATGATACCATCCCCTAATGGATAGATGGTGACCAAGTACTTAATGGTCAGTTCACTCCCAACTACTATCTATCAAATATTCGATTCAACTAGACAATAATGACAATCTCCTATATAGGGGTCTAACCTTTTAAATAGGCCCAACTATCCAAAATAGTCCAAGTAATATTTTATGAGTTCAAAATTATTTTGGTGTAAACAACCGCCAAGAAAATTATCGAGTAAATGATCAACCATTTATGTATTTCATGTTTTTGTAAAACATATAAATAATCAACCAATGATCAAACTCAGATTTCGTGGGGGACGTACCATTCATTGGTGTAGGGCCATTTAAATTTTATGTCTCCCAAGCCAACTATATATTTTACATGGAAAATGATTGAATGAATGATACTTATGCTCAAAAGATTGTTTTTTTATATCAGAAATGAAAAGGAATTGCATGTTTTTCTGCACCATGTGAGTGAAAATATGCTCGACATCAACCAGATTGGTTTTAGGGGTAATTAACATAACCAGACACAAACTTTTTCACTTTATATAAAATGGTTACAAATTTTTAATTTATAACGATACGATAATTAATTTTTTGAAATTGTATGAAATGGCTACTTCTGTTTAATTTGTGACAATTTTGTATTAAGTGCAAATGTTTTGTTACCGATTCGTTACAAATTAAAGTTTGTGACCGTTTTGAGGTCGGATCGTATGTTCTTTATGTATATGACACTAACCACTTGAACAACATGAGTTGTCAGGTCGTGTGTTTATCGATATACTTTTTTTGCTGAATAAGAATGCAATATGTTTACATTTCAATTCCAATACCTAGAACGTAAGAAAGTAATCCAAGTTTTTCCTAATAAAAAGCAGCATATAGCCCATGTGTGAGGCATTGAATTCTCTCACTGTCATCTTTGTTTTTTTCTTATGAGTATTGTCATCTTTTGTTACGATCATATCATTCACATGAATTAACAAAGCCATCATACCTCGACTGAAGCGAATTGTAACAGTGATTGATAGTCCAAACCTTTGAACGTTGTAATAACACGGTAATAAAAGTTTGAATTTATATGAAATGGTCACTCTGTTTAATTTGTGACCATTTATATAGTACAAACTTTTGTTACTGTATTGTTACAAATTAAAAGTTTGTAACTGTTTTATACTATGTACAAAAGTTTGTGACCGTTTATACTAATTACACTTGGTTTTAGTTGCAATCTTACATGAACTTGTGTCAGGATTCGAGCACCAAACCTATCACGACATGAAGAACTTAACTAACAAAGACCTTAAGTGTCAACCAAAAAAAAATAAAGTGATTTAATTTGTGTGTCAATATATATCATGCCACGACATCTTCACACACTGCGACTACTCCATTTAATTCATTAGTACATTCATGGCATCCACATATACAAGAACTTGTGCTTATTATTGGTTTTCAAATCATGAACACTACTGGGGAACCTGAATTATTCAATTTTAGTTCCCATAGGTTTAACAGATGATTTAACAGGGCTAGCCTAGCAGCATATATGCCATGCTCGGCTTACTACTAATTAACTATACATCCATCATATTGAAGACGCCAAGCATGGTCCTATGGTTGCATCCACCACAAGCAGCTTCGTTATCATCAGGAGCAACCGGAGCCAGCTGAAACCTGCATCCAACCGGTTCAATCGGTCAAACCATTGATCATGGAGTTTAGTCGAATTATTCATTGTTGGCTGGCAATTATATGTTCCCAGTTTAGGGATGACAATTAAAATCGCCACCGTGGATATCTAATTATTCTTGACCCAACATGGAGAATTCTCGTATTTATTTGGTATGAGGTGGGGTACGGACGAAGCCGAACATTAGGGGGAATGGGGTGAGATTGATGCGTGCTTCCCGCGGCATGCTCATACCCATCCCACCAAGACTGTAATGTAACTTGTCACCGGCAAAAAGAATAATTAGAGAGCAGAATGTTGAGTACTACTACATTAATCACGTGCAGTAAACACAAATGGAAGATCTAAATTCATATGATGAATGATTGTATCTTGTTGATTTCATGGTTCATCAGATCTGTTTCAAGAGTTAACTTTAAGTAGGGGTGGCTATACGGTCCGGTTAAATTGGTCCAAATTGTTCCGGTCCAGTCCGGTTGTTTTGAAAATATAAGGACTAAAGATTGGATTGGATACAATTTGGTCTTGATCCGGTCCGGTCCCAATTCGGTCTTGATTTTATATTGAGTTTGTGGTGATTTGAGTGGCCTAGGGCCTGAAAGGGTGAGGAGTTGGTTAAGTTTTGTCCTAAGTGCAAAGGTTTGTGACCGTTTATGCAAATTACCCTTAAATTTTGGGTGTTGAGCTCTCTTATCCGGTCTTTATCCAGTTTTCGATCCGGTCCCAAACGGTTTTTTACCTCAAATCTAAGCCCAAAGATTGGATTGGATTGTTTACTATCCGGTCCCGGTCCGGTCTCGGTCCGGGTTATACAGTCTGATTTCGGGTAAAACCAAAAAACCGGACCAAATAGCCAACCCTAACTTTAAGTGTACATTTTTTTTAGGCAAAATACACTTGTATGGCCATAACTTTCACGTTTGTGACAAATATAGCCATAACTATTCGAAAACCAAAAATAGCCCAAAAAATTGAGGGTAGTGTGACAAATCTAGCCAAATCCGTTAGAAACTCTAACGGTGTTAGAAACTCCGTTAGTTAGATTAACGTTAGGCTGACTAGGATGCCAAATCGTCAGACACGTTAGCAACCAGTCATCAAATCATTCCCATGTCATTTTAAATTACAATAATAATTAATTTTGAAATTATATTAAAAAAAAATTCTAGCTCTCCTCCCCCGCAACAATCTTCTGCCCAAATCCCTTTCCCTCTCCTCCTCCAATCATCTCTCTCTTCGCTTCCTCTTCCTCCTCTTTCCCTCTCCTCTCCCAACCACCTCTCCAACGGTAGCACCACCGCTCGATTCGCCGGCCAACCTGTCCAATTCGCATTGCCATGACGACGGTGCCCAATTCAGAATCCAGAAATGGAGAAAAATTGAAGCGAGAACTCAAGTCAAACATAGATCTACCCCGCAATTGAAAAACAAAAAGCTGACCTGAACAGCAGAAATCCACAGAAGAGCTCTCCGAACCCTCGAATCGTCGGCCTCCGACACCCGCATTTGAATCCTCATCAGCTCGCCGACCGTCAATGGCTTCTTCGACTTTCCCTGACTAGAGCTAGACCCGGACCCGGGGCTCTTCTTGGACCCGGACCCGGGGGATTTCAATCCGAGAGCTTTCTTCATCTTGTTGGCCGCGGCGGAAGTGAGCGAGAGCTGCAGTGACGGAGATGAGTTGGAGTTGGAGCTGGGGGAGTGAGGCAAATGGTGGTGGTTATGTGGGTCAGTGGCGGCGGCGACGGTGGAGAGGGGCTTGGTGGAGGAAGTGCAGGTGAGGCGAGGAATAACTCGTAGGCGGCGGAGAGGGTTGGGTCTTACTGTGGTAGCTGTCATCAGTGCCGAAGGAATTGGAAATCGAGGTTGTAGAGTATTTGGATCTGGATTTAGATTTGTCGTCACTGTGAGGAAGGTGAGAACAGAGGAGGATCTGGGTTTGAATTGGGGAAGATGTCCAGTAGGAGGAAGATGGGAGAAAGATGGGCGGTGGGTATAAGGTTGCAATTTTTTTTTTTGTTTTTAAACTAAATTATTAGATAAATAATGATTTTTTATATATTTTTTTTTTAATCCACATCGGCTTGGTGGGACCATAAATCGCCAACTCAGCATATTCCATCAGTACAGTCAGATTGTTAAGTAACACCGTTAAAGAGATGGACGGAATTGGCTATTTTTGGTTTTCGAATAATTATGGCTATATTTGTCACAAACGTGAAAGTTATGGTCATACAAGTGTATTTTGCCTTTTTTTATAATGTACATGTTTAGTAAACTCAATACGGGGAGGGGTTGCAAAAATCCCTATATATGAGGTATGAGATGGAATATGGATACATGTTATGTTTTTTGGAAAGGGGATGTGGTTGGTTTAGGGAAACTCACCGATAAAAATAAAGATGGTAAACATGATATTTGAATCGACAGAACCAACTCGATCCAATGTTTTAATCCTTATCCCAGTCACCTTATCGAATGGAGTTAGACCAGGATTAGTGTGAATTCACTTTCCTCACAGTTCACATGGAGAGGTTATTAACATTTGAAATGGACGAAGGCAATGGATTGGACAAGAGAAATCACATTGTCTCATTAAGTGATTGGCAAAAAAGCTTAAACCATAATCTTGAAGAAAGGAGATGATCAGCTAGCTAGGAGAAAATGACAAATTAGTACCTGGTGGGAGCTGCTGCATATGCTGCTGTTGCTGGTTGTACCATTTTGTGCTTGTCTTTGGCCATCTTAATCTTCCTGCTGGTAGGCCCAACAACTGCTCCATGATGATCACCTTCATCAACAACTTGAAGGGATTTCCTTTCCTTTATCTGCCACAACAACCAATATTGTTCGTTTTGCATCATCATTCATCAACAGCCACCTTTTAAACCCAACAATGAAAACCCTCTCCCCAAAAGTGGCATAGACCACAGTTCCACGAGCCCACCACTAAGCTAAGAGCGGCCTTGATAGGTAAAAAAGAAGAAGAGAGCACAAACCTCAATCTGCAGCTGTTTATTCTCTTCACCAAGATCATGCTCCTACAATTTTTGGCCACACACGTACAATTCCGGGAAACAAGGAGTAATTAAAAGAGGTTACAGCTTAAAATGGATTCAAACCCAGCGGCAGCTGGCTAGCAAGCCCCTTTACCATTTTCCGCAGTTCTTCCAGCTTTTGCAACAGCACTTGTGTCTGCAAAATAAGAAACAACAAAGTTCAAATCAGTACAGTCTCGAATTCAAAAGTATATATGACTTCTCTGATGCGAGCGAGCGAGCTTTACCTTCTTTTGCCTAGCTCGGGAGAGAGCCCTGTCCAGCTTCCTCTCGATCTTGAGCAACTCTTTCGCGCTCAGGGTTTCAATATCCTCCCCTTGGAAATGCCTTGATGCATAAACCGGCCAGTACACATAATCAGAAACTATAGTGTCTTATGTATAGATCAGAAACTAATTAACGGAGAATGGAGATATATACCTACCTATGAGAACGTTGCAGTGCTTCACATTTCTCGTCCAATTTGGCAACCTCCACGCATAAGTTCTGCACCAAACCACAGCCTCAAAGTTCACCAACAGCATCCTAACTACAAGCTCCGTATTATGGTTTTGCTTGTATCGCAAAAGAAGATGAAGGGGGACCTGAAATGGTGTTCCGGCATGAGCAGAAGGGTTCCCGCCTTGCGTGCTGTTGTTGATGTAGTTGCATTGCCTGTATCGCAGAAGGGTTTTGTTGACTCTGAAAATCAACACCAGTTAGTCAGACAGATTAGGAAGGAAGGAAGGAAGTAGGTCTGGAGAATGGGGTGAAGTTAAAAGTGGTGGTGGATGAGATTCTTCATGATAAAAAGGGGGAGGAGGCAAGGAAAACACAGGGAGAAAGAGAGATGAGAACCCTAGACATAGAAAGAGTAGTGGTAATTGCCGCCTGACCATGGCCATACTTGTCTTCTGTTCACAGGATAGTAGTGACTAGTACGCAGTTTCTGACTATTGATAAGAACACACATTACAGGCAGCTGCCATCCTCCCCTCCACTCCACAACAACAAAGGTTGGGACTTGGGAATTGTTGGGATTATGGAAAAGTAGAGAAACACTAATTAAAAGGAAAAAAAGGTAGTAAAACGTGTCAAGACCCCATTGCTTGGGTTCCTCTGTGTCACTGTGGCTTTTACCACTCAGTCACCATAACTCTCTCTTCTCAATATCTCATCGACCCTCTTTTACATCTTTCCCAATTAAACAAATTAGTTAAAAAACAAAGGCATGTCTGTGTATTGATATATATGCAGAAGGTGCTCGATCGCGTACCCAGAGCTGCCGAACTCAGAGAGCTTGCCGCGGCTGGAGAAGAGGATGAGAGCGACCTCGGCGTCGCAGAGAACAGAGAGCTCGGTGGCCTTCTTCAGCAACCCATTCCTCCGCTTCGAGAAAGTCACCTGCCGGTTCACCTTGTTCTCTATCCTCTTCAGCACCACTTTCCCTCGCCCCATTTTTCTGACAATGTAATTCCCTTTCCTTTCCTTCCCTCCCCTTCCCTTCACATGATTTCCAATTCTTCTCTTCTCTGTTGTTATATAGAAGAAAACCCTATATCACCCACCATCTGACGCTAGCTTCGAATTATGAATATCTTGACTCGACTTGAAGGAGGAGAAGAAGAAGTACTGTTTCTTTAATTCGGCCCTCTATCTCCGACCTCTTCTTTGTACTCTTGGTTTATTTTGCGTCCTGGTTTGGTTTGGTTTGGTTGCTGCTGATTATGTATAGGAGGAGGCGGAGGAGATCGACTACGTACGAATCTGACCTATCCGCACAGCAAAACGGCCAACTCCCCTCTTCTTTTGGTGGTATAATGCGACCCCAAAAACCATTATTGTTGTACTCCCTACGCTGTTTGATTATATTCACTTTTAGGGTTCCACGAATTCATCAAACTGGGATGACGATACCACAGTATTTATTTTGGTTATTTAATTTCTAGATTTTAATACTATACTGCAAATATTCCATATTGATTTTAACAGTTAGGAGCTAATCCTTCCTATGGATAACTTTCCAGTTGCACCATGTATAACTCACACTTGCAAATTATGGAACACGATTAATTTGTCTCCAAGTCTAATTTTAATGTTTATTTCTCTTTTGCTCTAATTCGTAATTAAAAAAAATTGCATAGAAAAAATCAGATTAATTGTTATTTTTCGGAATGACATTCACTGTCATAGATTTTTAAAAGAAAAAAAAAATGAAAACATTTATTAGGGGCGGGATACGGTTACTTCCCTTATGGGGTTGTGAAATTCACATCCAATGGCAATTTGGGTATGACAAAAGAATATAATTATTAATTAATATTTTTGTATTAATTACGGATTGGGAATTAAAAACTCATATTAAATACATGTTTTTTAATTTAAATCCTACAATTAATACGTTTATATCTCTCTTTCTTTTCCAACTGCCTTTTCACTCCGATCGCCAAACTTTCTCCGACTGGCAGAATTTTTTTCGATGAAATCCTTCAATGCGCTAGTAGTACCCGATTTTCGTCTAGTGGTACGCCATCACAGGTAGTGCTACGTTACCAGTGAGTAGTAGTACGCTACCACTATCATTGGTACCGCTACCACTAACATTGGTACCGCTACCAATGAGTAGTAGTACGCTACCACTACCACTAGTGCGTTTCCAGTTAAAAATCAGTACCACTAAAGACTAACATAAAAAATAGATCTAGAATCTAAAAAATCCCAGATCTGGAAAAAATCAAGTGACGAGGAAAGGAGAAGGCATGGGAGAGGCCGTTACCTCGCGGCAGTGTTCAAGAACACTCGCCTAGGCGCGTTTAGTAGCTAGGCGAGGAGGATTCTTGGAGAGGAATGTTGGGCGAAGTAGTTGGGCGCCAAAAACGCGGAATCGCGTTGAAGAACGCCTAGGCGGAGACTCCAAGCTTTGATCCGCGATTCCAAGCGGTGGGCGACGCCCAGAAAAAAAAAATGGTTATGAAATTTTGATGCTGCTGTGCGTTTTGGATGCTGGCGCAGAAAGGGGAAAACCCTAATATCAGTCGACCATCGCAAGTTTGCAGCAGCCTTCATCCCTCCTCTCCAGACTCCAGCCGCCTTCTCCAGCATCGCGGGGATTCGTCGCCAGCATCGCAAGTTTGAGAACTGCGCCACATCGCGGGGATTCGTCGGTCTCCAGCATCACCAAAAAGGCAGAAGCTGGTTGATAGATTGCGTCAACCGCAGTTCTCAGCCTGGTTTCCTCCTCGTTTTCGCCCTCGTTCTCCAACATCGCCGCAGTTCTCAGCCGACGGTGGAAGATCTCTGGACTAGGGTTTCCATTCTCGACCTCGACAGCCGCTTGGTTAAAGAGTCCCTGAACGAAGAGGAGGTACTGGGAGTTCAGAAGAAATCGGAGTTTTAGAAGCAGTTGTAGAGGAGAGAATCGGAGTTATGCCGCTTCGTTGACAAGGTACTGGAGATGTGTGATTGCTTGTTGCTACTTGCTAATCAGTTTTAGGTTCTTTTATTTTGGAGGCCAGCACAAGAATCTCAATTATCTTACTCGTTTCATTACTATGATTGCTTTTATTTTGGTTGCTACTAGCTAATCAGTTTTGCTGTGCCCTTAAAAAATTGGCTGCTGAAAATGTGTGTTTGCAATTACAGGGCTGCTTGTTTTGGTTAAATGGAACAGACAGAGGCTACTGTCACGGCTTCAACGGTTGAAAATGCGAATTCTTTGAAGAGGAATTCTGATGATATTGGTTGGGAATATGGAAAGCTCGTCGATCCAAACAACAAGGATAGAATCATGTGTAACTTTTGCATGAATATAAACACAGGAGGAATTAACCGTTTCAAGAAACACATTGCTCAGGTTGGTGGTGGAGTTGCCAAGTGTAAGAGTTGCCCAAATGAAGCTAAATTGGCATGCTTGAAATGGTTGGAAGGAACAGAAAAGAAGAAGCATGATAAGGTTGTTCGTGAGCTAGGTTTGAGAAGTGATGTTAATGTCTCTTCCGGTGGACAACAGGAAGAAGACCTCACTTGTGCAGGTAGCTCTGAACCTCACAAGTTAGGTCCTATAGACAAGTGGGCACATGCCATTGATCCTAGCTTGTCTTCGAGTGCATCATTTCAGCAACAAAAGATAAATCAAGCACTTTTTAATGAGAGGACACTTCAAGTGCATCAATATATTGCAAAATGGGTGTACACACATGGTTAGTGCTTAGCTATACCCTTTACTTCTTTCTTAGATGCACAATTTGTTTTTCTAATTTACTCCTGAATTTATTTTGTAGCTGTTGCATTCAATGCCATTGAGAATGATGAGTTCAAGCAAATGGTTGAGGCTATTGGTCAATTTGGTCCTGGATTGAAGCCTCCTACACAGTATGAGCTTCGAGAGCCTTTGTTGAAAGCTGAGTATGCAAGGACTAAGAGCTTGTTAAGTGATCGAGAGGCGGAGAAGGAAAAGAATGGTTTCTCTATTATGACTGATGCTTGGACAGACATGAAGAGGAGAAGCATCATGAACATAGTCACACATTGTGCCGAGGGAACCAACTTTAGAAAGTCGAAGGACACATCAGCGATTTCTCACACAGGTGAAGTAATCTTTGAGCTAGTGGACAATGCAATAGAGGAAGTTGGAGCTGAACATGTGGTGCAAGTGGTGACGGACAATGCTTCCAACAATATGGCAGCAAAGGCCCTCTTGTTGGAGAAGAGGCCGAACATATTTTGGAGTTCTTGTGCAACCCACACCATCAATTTGATGCTCCAAGGAATCGGCAACATACCAAGGTTCAAGAAAATTGTAGATCAAGCTAAGGGGTTCACCATCTTCATATATGGCCACCACCGCACCTTGGAATGCATGAGATCCTTCACCAAAAAGAGAGAGATCATCCGACCAGGTGTGACTCGATTTGCTTCTCAATTTCTTACTCTACAAAGTTTATTGGATAAGAAAGATTCTTTGAGGAAGATGGTGGTGGATGCGAAGTGGGAAAATATTAAGGAGACCAGTTCAAAGAAAGGCAAGGAGGCTTATGACACGGTTCTTAGTGTTAGGTTTTGGAATGGTGTGGAAATTTGCTTGAAAGTCTTTGAGCCATTGGTGAAGCTTCTCCGATTAGTGGATGGGGATGTGAAACCTTCTATGGGTTTTGTGTATGGTGAACTTTTGAAGGCAAAGAGAGAGATAAAGGAGGCGTTTAAGAATGAAGAACTTCGTTACAAAGAAGTCATTGCTATTATGGAGAAGAAGATGAGAGGCAGACTTGATGCTCCATTGCATCTAACGACATATCTTCTTAATCCTCACTACAGTTATGCCGACTCCTCAATATTTGACAATGCCGACATTACAACATCATTGATCACTTGTGTTGAGAATTCTACCATGGTTGTGATGAGGATATACATGATGAGGTGGTGAACATAGAGTTCACAAAATTTCAAAGGAAACAAGGACTCTTTGGAAAAAAGATGGCAAAGAATTGTGTAAACTTTGACTACAATCTTGGTTAGTACTTCTTTCCACCTTTCCTTGTAACTTATGATTTAGTGTCGTTCACTAACTTAGAGTTGATTAATTTCTTAGTGGCTTGGTGAAGAATGTATGGAAGTGAGACACCTCATTTGCAAAAGATGGCTATAAGGATTATGTCATTGACCTCAAGTTCTTCTGCTTGTGAGCGAAACTGGAGTACTTTTGAGTCGGTTAGTAGTTTTGAATTTGTGTCCATATGCTATATAGTAAAAGTAGATATTAGATGGAAGCTTGTATAATCAATTGTCCTTGCAGATTCATACCAAGAAGAGGAATAGGCTTACTACTAGTCGCATGAATCAACTAGTGTACATCCAGTTTAACTCTAGATTGATGTCCAAGCAAAGGAAGATAAAGGAGAGGAAGAATGTTGATGTTCTCATAAGTTCCGATTCAATTGAAGCACAAGGCTTTCTATTTGAGGGAGAAGATAGTCACACTTTGCATGTGTTTGGTGATGAAGATGATGAAGGTTTCGATGGCATTCCATGGAATGTTATTGATGAGGCAAGGGGAGCTAGTGAGAATCTTCAACCTCGCAGGAGTGCCAGATTAGTGAGAGACCTTGCCGATGAGGAGTTTGAGTCTGAAGAAGAAGATGACGAGGAAAGTGAGGCCATTCATTTCGAGGAGGATGAGGAGGATGTTGTGGTTAACAAGAACTATATGGATGAAGATGATGAGTGATCAACTTGGAGTTTATTAACTTGTCATCGCCTTTATGGCTTATCTTAACATTTGTAATGTTTTATTATGTTTGTTTCCTTCTATGTTACTACTTGAATGATTGTTATCTTGAATATTGTCAGTTACAGAACTACAAATCAGTGAACTTATGAAGGTTATGTTTGATCTTGCACTCTAAATTTACATATTTATCATTTTTTTCGACGTTTAATCTCGCCTAGGCAACGACTAATCGGCCTGGGCGCTGGGCGGTGCCTCCTCGCCTAGGTGGGGCCCAGCGTCTTCTTGAACATTGCCTCGTGGTGACGGCGGCAGTGGATGAGGGCGGCGGGAGAGAGATGTCGACGACAGAGGGTGGAGGGAGGCAAAGGGTCACGGGGTGGTGGAGGACTTCATTGTTGGAGGCAGCAGGAGGTGGAGACGGCGGTAGCGGCAGCATGGAACAGAAGGAGAGAGACACTAGCGTCTAGGGTTTTGGGTGGGAGGGGAGGGAGGAGTGAGAGAACGTGAGAGGTGGGGAGAGTTATTATTATTTATTTATTTTTGTTAATTAAGAGGGATTATATAGAAAATGAGAAAGGTAATTATGTGATAAGTTTTTTCATTCCCAAAATACCCCTTGTTTAATCCTAACCTTCAATTTGAAAAATATAGTAGAGAGACAGGAGAGAGAACGCATCCAATGGTGATAAATGGGGAAATGTAACTCACATCCCTCTTAGAGGGATGTGACGGTATCTCATCCCCATTTATTACCAAGCTATACTATGGTGATAATGCATGGTAGCATAGTTAGTAAATACTCCGTTTAATAAACTTATCTAAGAATGTACATAATTAATTCGTTTAAAAATGATGTCAAAACTCATAACATTAATTTAGATTACCCCCTATCAATTTCATGGCTCCCGTACTAAACAAGTATAAAACATGCATAACACGTTCAATATCCATATTTAATTAGTCAAAGGATAACTTGAACATTATTTACAATTTACTTTTAAAATAATTAATTTCATATATTTAATGACTATTGAGGTAATATTAGACGTAACATTAGTTCAAAAATGAAGTAAGATACCACCCGTACATATTTTAAACGTAACTTGCACGTATTGTATTTAACTAACTATGTTTGATAGTACATAAAATTATATGATGGTGTCATTAAAATGTACTATGGTGGTATGAATATATCATAGCGTAGAATGATTGTATACAAGAAAGTAGGAATATGCTAACTGCAATATACAAGGGTGGTAACGAGTGGTACGGGCGGTACGAAATATTTTCTCAAAATGTATTTAAAGTATATATCATTTTGTAGATCACAACAAACTCTTTTACTCTGTGATTTTTGTTGACGCACAAGTTAAAACAAAGAAGATACAAACTTATTAAAAAAGTAGGAAGAATGTAAAACCAATGATTGAAAATTTGTACTGGACCGACGATTCGACCAGAAAAACCTTCTATTGGACGATAGCATTATGACATGGTTGAACCACAATTAATTCACAATTGAGCATAAAATACAATGCCACTGACTTTTTTTTATACAACACCTGATACAATAATATAATCCTTTAAAATCAAAAGGTCAGATACAACTTCATCCTTTAGATCTGACCCCACTTTAAATCAAAAGATCAGATATACTTTTGTAAAATTGCATAATCACGGTTATTGAACTTATCCTACATCACTTTTATGAGGTATGTTTGTAGTATGAAAATACAAGTAGCTAGACAAAACTATGGTTTTTCTGTTTTAGATGGTTCCAAACAGGACAAGAGAAGTTTATTGTTGTATTGCTGCATCAAAAGTGGAGTGGGAAAAGAAAAGGTTCGTCACAAATAAAATTTAGGACTTTGCTCTGATGACATGCACTTTTCGATCGATTTAATCTGTTGTTTCAGTGTAAAAACAGTTTTATGGTGCCTATTTTGGGGATTCATATCTTACAATTGGCTAGATGGAAATTGGAGATTAATGGCTTGTTTTGAAGCTGAAGTGTTTCTCTACACATTAAAGTATTTGGGAGCTCGATAGGAAGTCCAGATTAATGGATTAGGTCGACCTCATTCAAAAATGGTTTTCCGGACTTCCTATCGAGCTCTCAATCACTTCAATATGTAGAGAGACACTCCAGCTTCAAAACAAGCCATTAATCTTTAATTTCCATCTAGTCAATTGTATGATATGAATCTCCAAAGTAGGCACCATGAAACTGTTTTTACAATGAACCTAATTCTAAATGAGGTCAACCTAATCTTAAATGAAGTCGACCTAATCCTAACTGAGGTCGACCGAAAAGTGCAAGTCACCGTGACATGCATGTCACCGTAGTCACACCCTAAAATTTATGCATGTTAAATTACCTACTATGATGGTTAAGTCAACAAAAGTAATGATAGTGGTCTAGTTTCTCTTTAAGGAGGATCCTTGAGATAAGAATTTGTTTCATCCTTTGATTTACCAAACATTCGGCATACTAAGCCCTCACAGTCTGGTCCTTTCTCATCTTAAATATAGTTTTGACCGTTTGTTATTAGACACTTTTGGCGAAGATTAGTGAGATGGCTCAATCCGACGCAATCCCTCAATCAATTAAAAGCTCAAAGCCTCCATGAATTTCTAGACCAAACCCTAATGTGTACGTATTTATTTCTTTCTAAATATCTCGTTCTTAATATATGTGGAAGATGTGATTACAAGAAGTATGATACATTGCTAAGGATTTAATTCATTCATTAAACAAGTTGACTCTTTTGTTTAATGACTGAAGTACGAATGAAGTACGAATAATGAAGAGGCTTAAACCCCAGCAAAGAGAAGATAAGGACAATCATTCCATTCCACAGTATTATAAACCAACCAAAAAATACAAATGCACACTGTCATAAAAGACAGATTCACAGCCCAAAGGAGACCCACACGTAGGATGATAATTTTGATCTGATTCGTTTTACCCGACTTGTTTGACTTGTTTTTGAGTGGGGCGGACATGGGTACTCTTATCGACCCGACATGCCCTGACCCGCCCCATTCTTGCCTAAATTACATGTAATCTTAGTAAAATTACTTACGATTTTTCTTTTATTACATCATATTTTAGCTATAATAAAGTTGTAAATTAGTGAAAACCTCAATTTTTCTAATAATTTAACTACATTTATCATAATATTGTTTATTTTCTTGATCTTATAATAAAAATAACGAATATTTCTAATGTTTTTCATATAAATTGCATACACATTGAGTCGACCTGCCCCAACCAGCAAACCCGAGTGATAAATTACCCGACCTGCCACGGAACGGGTCTAGTTACCAAAAAACTCGTCTCGAACCTAACCCATTGCCATTCCTACCCACACGTACACACAGAAGAAAGCAAATGCAGGAGCGAAAATTGATACGAGTCAGCATCGACTGGGTAGCTTAATTTGACGTTGATTAGTATTTAATTATAACGCACTGTTTATGAGTTATCAGTTCTCTCCATCCGCTGGTCGTATGTATACCTTCATTAGTGATGGCAATTTCAACCCGCCCCGTGGGTATTACTCGACCTGACCCGCGATGGGGCGGGTATTACCCGACCCGCAGTAGCGTGGGGCGGGTCGGAAGGCGGGGCATGGGTATCTACTTCCGACCCGCCCCGTTCTAGACTCATTTTATCTCAATTTCTTACAATATCTATACATATTTCTCCTGTTTTGATTTTTCTTCAACTAGTTAGAGTCGATCTTTCAACTAGTTAGGCTCAATTATCCATTCTATTATCAATATTTTTCATTCTTAAAGTGTTTTTCCCTACGTTTTAATGTAAAACGTAAAATTTACTTGTATTTTATTTTAACAACATGTAAGAGTGGGTCGACCCGCCCCGCTCCGTACCCGCCCCGACCTGTAATAACGTGGGACGGAGCATGAGAATTGAGGTACCCACCCCGCCATGCCCCATTGCCATCACTAACCTTCATGGATTGGTTACTGTTGTGTTCTTTCTTCTTTCGCTGGGCTGTACACTTCATTTGGTACTACTGTATATGCTGATGGAGAAAGGGAGGAAGCAGCAAGTGCCGACACGTGTCCAGAAGGGTACGTCATGGCTTTAAGGCTTTGGTTGGGGTTTAGGGTTTAAAAAGAATCTCCATTGGCCTGCCACTGTTTACTATGCCTTCTTCATCACTCCACTATGGGGTTTTCGTCTTTTTCCCTTTCTTCCCCCACTATTTGCTTTTCCCGATCCACACTCACGTGGACAGTACACCCCCATTACCCCACCCGCGCGTACTGTTCAAAAATCCACGTGTCGCCCTCTGGGCTTTCAGTCCGTATTAACGAACAGGACACGTGTCGGCCGACGCCACCTCGCACGACGCATCCATCATCCAGATTGGGCTTCGCCACCCCCCCCCCCCCCAACGCAGCCTCCCCTGAACTCGCTGGGCCGGACCGGCTTCTTAAAAGCATGGGCCCGACTCCACACCTCCTCAGTCCTCCTTTTGGGCCGAATAAATAAATTAAAATAATATTCCACATCTTAATTTGCAACGGCGGAGAACGAACTTGTACAAATTCACGGCGGAGAACATGCTCTTTGAATTCTAGCGAAAATCGAGAAGCGCAGTGGATGGGATTGGGGGAGTCACATGACGAGATAAAGCTTATTTTGGGAAGGTTAGGTGAACATGTGGCCACTCGTGAACGCTTCTTGATTTGATTTCCACCGCTTGCGGTCTGCGGCGTGGTACTCAAACGACTGAGCTGTGGATACTGATCGACGTCGACGATCACTGTCCAAGGACTAAGAGAGCACCCCCTGGCTGCTTGCCGGGGCGACGCTGAGTCATTCATCAGCGGGATCAAGTTGATCAAAGTGCGCAATGGCGCCTTCGCTTTGCTGTTCGAGAGTGGAGAATGCCTTCTTCTCTTCCGCGCTATTCAAGCTGAAGAAGCAGCAATCCGGTGTTGCTACTACTGCCAGGAATGGCAGCATCGCGTGGCTCGCTTCTTCTCCGTCCTCCAGAATTTCTCTTTCTGGAGCTTCATTTCATCAGTCGACCTCGCGAGCTCGTTCGTTCTCCGTGAGAGCGGCCTCTCAATCTTCTCCTGCCGCCGTCGCGGAACCGGAAGGGATCAAGGTCGGCCGCTCGTAATTTGCGCTCTCTCTGTGTCGTTCATGTGACATTTTGTCTCTTCATCACTGGCTTGCTGTGTTTGTGTTGTCCAGATTAATTCAGTGCCGACGAAGCCGATTGAAGGTCAAAAGACGGGAACTAGTGGTCTTCGTAAGAAGGTAGCTTCTGATTATCGCTGATTGAGCTTTCTTAACGATTTCCATTTTCAATTCAGCTGTTCCATCGATGTCCGGAGTGAGTTGGCGAATGGAAAACTCGATTATGTCAGGGAACTTGCTCCATTTACTGAGTTGTTTTGATGAATTTTGGTTTCTCTATAGGTAAAAGTGTTCAAGGAAGAGAATTACCTAGCCAATTGGATTCAGGTGAGATTCTTGAATGTGGTGTATATATTTCGATTTCCAGCAGATGATCTTTTGTAGAACTAAGTTGGTACGGTCTTCTTTTGATCTATATTTGCAGGCATTGTTCAATTCATTGCCTCGGGAGGATTACAAGAATGGACTATTGGTACTAGGAGGGGATGGTCGTTACTTCAACATAGAAGCTGCACAGGTCATACTTAGTTACTTACCAACTCAGCTGGTGTACTTGGTAGGATTAGCAGTTTAGCACAATTACATGGTTTCGTTGTTTGCAGATAATCATTAAAATTGCAGCTGGAAATGGTGTTGGCAATATTCTGGTTGGCAAGTGCGTCTTCCTCACCTTTCTTTATTTTGACAAGTTAAGAATGCTTAAGAAAAGGAAGATTGATATTGAATGGTGTCTCCATGCTCGTCCAAATTAATGCATAGATACCAAGAAACAATAATATAAGAAAAGCTGGACAGTGGAGACATAGTTGTTAGAACATATGGCTTCTCCTAATTCTCTTATTTGGATCAACCATATCTGCATTTGGGGTTGAATTAGATGCTACAATGTGCCTAGTGTTTCATGTGAATCTGTTCTGGTTGTCCTTCCCTGGGTCTTCTTTATGAGTATGTACCTTATAATGCAGGGACGGTATCCTATCTACACCAGCTGTCTCTGCTGTTATCAGGAAAAGGAAGGTAAGTAAACATTTCTTATATATGCTTGGACCAGCAGTTCCTGAGGCAACAAATCTTAGAAACTTTCTCCTTTTGTTTCACGAAAACTTCCACACAGGCAAATGGTGGATTTATAATGAGTGCAAGCCATAATCCTGGGGGCCCTGAATACGACTGGGGCATCAAGGTAAGCTGCCAATGCAGTTGAACTGTGTTTATATTGATCCAGACAATGCTCTATTCAAACCAAATAGTGTTAATTTGCCTGTTCATTTCTAGTGCAAGGGACTGCAGTTTTATGTCATTAGTTTCGCTGTATTTTTGATCTATGAAGTCTTTTTGTCTAGCTGCCTTGTGATTCCTGGAGCAGACTAATTTTTCCTTTTGAGTTTCTCAGTTACTCATGGTGGGGAAATCTATCATCAATTATTATCTTTCTGGAGACGTTGTTGGCTTTTCATCTTCCATCCGGTCATCATTGCTGCCAATCTTCGAAATTTTCGCACCGAAAAATCTTTGTTTTCCCATTCAAACTCATACTTTCTTAAATTTTTCAAAAGAGAGGTCTATAGGGATTCTGGAATCAGTCTGTTCAAAGTTAATGTTGTTTAGTTGCTTGAGGTGACCAGTGTTGGAGTCTCACAACTTGAGTTAACCTTTCTTGTACTTTTGTGTAGTTTAACTACAGCAGTGGGCAGCCTGCCCCGGAGTCGATCACTGACAAGATCTACGGGAATACTCTTTCTGTAAGTATTGCTCATATGCTTCTAGCATTCTCTCTTGGTTAATTATGTTTCCATACCCTGTTGCTTAGTTGCTCAGTTGCCCTCTTTGCTGAATAATTTTATGGTCTCAAGTTTCATAATCTCATTTCTGATGTGTCATTTGAGAAACATAAAATTCGAAGTCCTTACCATATAATGCTCAGTATCAAGTTTGAATCCTGAATGAATTTTTTTACACTGGTCACTGGATGCTCAACGTCACTTTGGACTGCTTGTCTACGTTGCTTGTCTGATTTTAAGCAGTTCATAGTGCCTTTTACTTCATGGTCTTGCAGATCTCTGATATAAAGACAGCTGAGATTCCTGATACTGACCTGTCTCGTCTCGGAGTTACAAAGTACGGAAGCTTCTCTGTTGAAGTAATAGATCCAGTTTCTGACTACTTGGAGCTAATGGAGGTCAGAAAATAATATGTTCACATGTTAAATTTTATATAATCTTGTGCATTTCACATTAGTAAGCATTTTTGTTGGGTTTTTTTGCAGAATGTATTTGATTTTGAACTCATCAAAATTCTCGTTTCACGTCCTGAATTCAGGTACATGGACTGCAATCAAATTAAGTCTTAATGTTGTGGTTGGCCTTTCATTTATATTTTCCACTAAATTACAGTCACACTAATGAAGTCTGCTGGAATGCATCACTCAAGGCAAACTGTGGTTATTTGGCATCAAAAGTTATTAGAACCGTCTGCCATCTACTCTGCACACGCATGCCTCTGTTTCAGTAGTGATACTCTACAAACCTGTCTTTGTATTTCAAACTCTATTCAAGCAAGTATTCACTTTTCAGGTTCACATTTGATGCAATGCATGCTGTTACTGGTGCTTATGCAAAGCCAATCTTTGTGGACAAGCTAGGAGCCAGTGTGGTATGTTCTGTACGTTGTGCATATCTGGCAATTCCATCAAAATTTATGTGTCACATTCATGATGCCAGGCTTTTGGGGTCTGCAATGTAGGATTCAATCATGAATGGTGTTCCTCTTGAGGATTTTGGACATGGTCATCCAGATCCAAATCTCACGTAAGACACAAAATATGTGCTTGTTCTGATGAATTTGCTGCTGTTGGAAAGAAAGCTAACATTTACTTGTTTCTGAAACAGATATGCCAAGGAGTTGGTTGACATCATGTATGCTGAAAATGGACCTGATTTTGGAGCTGCTAGTGATGGTGTGTTATTTATTTATTTTATGTTCAAGTTAGTTTGGCTTCTTGAAAGTCTCACAGCAGTGTTTACCGATTGGAAGATGGTAAGCCTGTGAGTAGATAAGGTTGTTTTCCTGGTCTCAATTTAGCATTTATCATTTTGTTAGGGGATGGTGATCGGAACATGGTCCTTGGCAAAGGTTTTTTTGTTACTCCTTCAGATTCAGTTGCTATAATTGCAGCTAACGCCCAAGAAACAATCCCTTACTTCAAGAGTGGTCCTAAGGTAGTAAAAGAGCATTTCCTTTTTCGTATTACTTTCTGGGGTATGACCTAAAATGACTTGCATTTCTTTCAGGGTTTAGCTCGTTCAATGCCTACTAGTGGTGCTCTTGACCGTGTGGCTGAGAAGTTAAATCTTCCATTTTTCGAGGTCAAACTCTCAATTTTGACAGAGCAACATGGTATGTAAAAGTACCGAAGCAATAACATGAACATCTTTGTTCTTGTGTTCAGGTACCCACTGGTTGGAAATTTTTTGGCAACCTTATGGATGCTGGGAAATTGTCAGTCTGTGGAGAAGAGAGCTTCGGAACTGGTTCAGACCACATTCGCGAGAAAGATGGAATTTGGTAGTTCTTTATTCTATTATATATACTACACAGAGTTATCAGATACCTCCATCTATTCGATTACTAATCTGATTAGTAAGTGGCATGGTGATGAACTGGCAGGGCGGTGTTGGCCTGGCTTTCAATTATTGCCCACAGAAACAAAGACAAGAAACCAGGGGAGAAGCTCACCTCAGTTGCTGATGTTGTCAAAGAGCACTGGGCTACATATGGCAGAAACTTCTTCTCTAGATACGATTATGAGGTAACCCACTGACTTCAACAATGGCTGCCAATATTACATTAGAAGCTAAATAATCTCTGCGCTTGACAAGCACAAGTTACTGTGGCTCAGGAGTGCGAATCTGAAGGCGCCAACAAAATGGTTGAATATCTAAGAGATCTCATCTCCAAGAGCAAGCCGGGCGACCAATATGGTTAGCCTGTCTCCAAACTCTCTTCTTTCCACTTGATACAGTCTCTGAAACCATGTTTGGACCGCCATTCAATTTGTTGCTGTGCCACAGGAAGCTACGTGCTGAAATTTGCAGACGACTTCTCGTACACCGACCCAGTCGACGGAAGTGTGGCATCGAAGCAAGGTGTTCGGTTCGTCTTCAGCGACGGATCACGCATCATCTTCCGTTTATCAGTAATGCAAACTCGTCAAACTCCTGAATATCCTTTTCGCTCACCCATGACTGCCATCAGATTACATATGTTAACTAAGCGTTCTGATGTGCGTACACAGGGAACCGGATCCGCAGGAGCGACCGTAAGAGTCTACATCGAGCAGTTCGAACCGGACGTCTCGAAACACGACGTGGATGCACAGACAGCGCTGAAGCCTCTAATAGGTTCGGTTTCTTCTTCATCACAGCAAGTCTACAACCTGTTTTTTTTACTCGCTCCCCCAATCTTGTTTTGATGTTTGGTTGGTTTCCAGATCTGGCACTCTCCGTGTCGAAGTTGAAAGACTTCACCGGGAGAGAAAAGCCCACCGTCATCACATAAAAAGCGCAAGCAATCAAAGCCCACCAGGCCCAAGTCTCGAGCCATAAAAAAATGCTTTTTTTGGCTGTACGGTATTAGTAATTAATTAATTAGTTAGGAAAAAGCGTACGACGACGAAAGCCGGCTTTCCTTTCCTTCATTGTAAAGCAAAAAAGACAAACAACCTCCGATCTTGTACCTGGTAGTGAGTGGCATAGAAAGGGCAGGACGGGGCAAGTGGGTAGGGTTTCCTTTCTCCCAATGAAGAGATAAAAGTGCTTCACAATACCACCACGACGCTTGAGTTGAGAGTGGGGTGAGAAGGAAAGAAGAGATGGATAAAAGGTGGTGTAGTTTATGGTGAGTGACCGTGTCGCCACACTCGGCAATTGGGTGAGAATTATTAGGTAATAACATCTCCAAAATGCATTGAGAGGATGATGAAAAATGTTGTAAAGCAGCAATAATGTTCAGCCCTGAAACAGCACGCACACGCGCGGTGATTTCAGCGTCGGGACAAAAATAGCAGCTGCAAAACAAGAAAGGAAGGTAGGAGACCCTACACTCTCATAGTGGCCGAATTCTTTGCAATAGCATCGTAAGGGTCCAATGGGAGGAGGAAGGCCCGACCGAGCGTTGTGGGAGCTGAGTGCGTGATCAATTACGACAAAGCACAACTATCCATCCATATAGTAATGGAACCACCAACACACGAGCACACACACGATTCCTGTCCTTGGATCGTTTCTTCTTGTTGTTTTTGGTCCTTTTAGTCTTGTCTTGAATGCAAACAAGAGGGCGTAGTGGCTGCTGCACATCAAGCATTTCAACTGAATATATGTCCTGATGGGCGAATCATTCACAGGTCAGACTCTCTGAATCTCACTCACTATCGGAAACTTTATAGGAAACCTTCCTTTTCCATTGATGCGACGGTGGCCCAAAGCTTTACTATAACGTATATTTACATGGACACAAAGCCTCTGCCATTCCTCCAAATCTAGTTGGGACGGGGGTTATAATGGAACGGAAAATCTACGATGGAAGAAAGTAAAGAATACAGAAATTTAGGTGATTTACTAATACGATAGGTGTTAGCTAATTCATGGGCATGACATACCATTTCACTATACTCGAGAAGATACAAATTAGAGAGACGAGAAAATATAGATAACATTTTCTCTTGATGGTTTAACCCTAATTCAATCCCGAAAGGAAAAAGGTTACAAACCATGCCCCAAACATGACAACAAAAGTGCACAAAATCCGTATAACATCGGTCAGGGGCGTTGCTATCAAAATCCTGTGACTTTCAGTCGACGACAGATAATCTATGTTCAAGTCATGTCATGAGTATAAAGAAAATTGTATCGAGAAAAAAACATGGGGCGCCCCTTGTGAGTAATCCGTAGTTTGTACAGACCAGATTCAATTTCATGGGGAAAGAAAATACTTAGAAAACTGGAGGTTTGGGAAATGGAGGACCCTCAGTTTGATCAAAGATCCAATACCAAGATCAACAAGGATTGCATCTGCTCCCTATTTTGCCATTGTGATAAAAGGTCATGTCCCAGCTTCCACCAGACCCACCACCCCCAAATAATTGATGTGTAGAGACAACAGTGGGGGGAAAAGTAAGAAGGCTTTTTAGTGGATAATAAGAACAACCCTCTCTAGCTAGCCAGTTTTGTGGGTAAAGGAAGGCATAGAAAGAGAGACAGAGAGATGATTGCCTCCTCCATTAGGGAAGGCAGGGGGTAACTGTGTTTGTCCTCATTGACGAGTTACATCTACTTGTATCATGTCTTACACCTATCACCAACTAGTTATTGATCTTCCTGCTTCAAATGATCCATCTCATATAAATTCCAACCATGGTGATTGGTGGGTCTGCCAGTTTCAATGTATTTCTTCTCTTGTGTGTAAAACTGCTCACAATACACTAAAATATCACACTAGCAACAGTCCACATGATATAACGCAATAAGCAGTAAGCAAGATTCACATCCCGGCTATCGATGATCTATGATCTTCTGAAATAAAGAAATGGTCAAAAGAAGTAGGAAATCCAACCATAAAGTTACCCTCACAAAAAACACCTAGAATATGTAGGTTTATGAAACTAAAAGCGACATCGATAATGATCAAAATGAGCATATTTGCAAGCAAACCTTTTTGAAACCCTATCTACCAAGCTACTAATACCTCTCTGGCACTGAATCTGGTGAGCAACAAAATCACAAGAACAACAAACGAATAGATACCAAAACAAAACAAAAACATGTAAGCTATAGCTTCGTTAATGTTTCAGTTCATATCTGCATGACAGTGTGATGACAACTCCACCACCATGTTAGTTGCCTCTACTCATGGACCCTTCCCTTGTCCTTGATTTGTCTTCTTGTAACAAACCCAGCTTCCTATTTGGCAATGCCGTCTCTTCTACTAACTTTTGTTCTCTTTCCTCAGTACGACCAGGTTTCATCTTACCCCTGTTTAGATACAATTCCAGAACAAATGGAAATGAAATTTTTTTTTTATTTTTATAGAATTCTATTTCCAATTCTAGTGTTTGGTTCAATTCCTACAACTATGGAAATGAATTGCACTTTTAACCATAATAAATAATGTACTATGTTTGTTTTATTTTGGGAAAGGAAATATGATTAAAAGAGAAAGAGAGTAAAATGATAGTGGGTCAATAAAATAATAAAAAGTATTAATGGGTGCCACTAATTTTATCTTCATTCTCTCAATTCCTATAACTTTTGATATACAAATTGTAATTCCCAAATTTTAGACCCAATGAATTTCAATTCTCAACCTTTTTATTATTCCAAACATAATATATGGAAATGGATTTGGAAATGGAATTCCAATTCCTTAGTTTTTTGTCAATTCAAACAGGCTGTTAATTATTAGTAGGAAAGAAATCCCATATCATGACCACTTCTCATAATCGATTGATCATTACAAACCTAGAAGAATATAATCGAGATTTAACCAACAGAATCTACAGTTATCATGTATGAGAGAATGATATTTAGGACTCATGATAATATACACAGAACAATAAGAAAAACCGCATACCAAAGCTGACCATTTGGTAAGGCCCAAACTGTAGACCATATAGTAGTGAGTTGGTCTGGTTAATAGTCTTTATCTTTCTTGTTTTGGTATGCCGGTCTGGTCTGGTCTGATCTTGACCGTTTGAATGAAAGACAAATGGGAGACCAATCCGACGCAATATGTATGATATTTTTCATTACAACATTGTTGTTTAACTTTGTGGTCCTGACCTTATGCTAATATTATGTCATATTTGTGATTTCAGTTGCTAACGAGCTGCTAATTTTTAAACTGGGCCAAACTATGTAGACGTAGTCTCGTCTGCATTGTATAACATATGGTGGGATTCTTGGTTTGCATTTCAATCTCTTGATATGAAATATATATGATATGATTAAATCGAATAAAACCATTTTCCAACCCTAACTAATCCGCTTGTAAAACTCAGAGAATGCAGATGAATTTGGGAATGGAAAAGAGGAATTAGTGACTTGAAAGAAGGATCTTGTCAAGATTAAGGAAGAATTGAGAAGGGATTGGAAGAGAATAAAAGAGATAGGAGAATTGGGCTTTCAACTGGTATTTTTTTTTCTTAATTCACAACCAATGTCATAAAATCCTTAAATATTGTTTAACAAGAATAAAAAAATGATACTAACAATAAAAATAATACTGCCCCGGGTTTGGACCCTGTCGGCCCCAACCTGACAAGACTAAGACGAGTTTCTACCATTTCCCACAAGGAACTCCCCGAAGAAACACCTCAAAGTCGGTCTTTAGCTGGCCTAAAGATTCATTTCTATCTGTCAGCCACCGATCCACTACATCCACAACACTCATCCCGCTCGTGTAACGGACCAACGATGACAGTGTCCGCCCATACAACGAACGCCTCAAATTGTGTCATTTAACTGCCCGGTGATACGTCATATTATACCACGTTGGTCCATACATAGTGCAAATACATCCTGCTAAAATTTACTCAGGAACAACAACATCATGGTCACTAACATTCATTCGAGAAAATTTATGGTGGCGCACAACTCCCCGCGGGTCGGAGTAAAGAGGCCTTGACCCTCTGACACGTGTCAAAGCTTGCCACATACTCCTTCACCTCTCGCCCATCTTTGGCCAATAAAAGTGATGTCGTACGCGTTGCAACGCCCTCTTCTATCCAAATTGACCTCCGAGTGGTGAATCATGAAACTTCTAAAGAACCATGATGACCAACAAAAAATTCTACAAGCAACACAATCCTACCTCTGAAGAGCATTATTAGATACTCATAATGACCATTATGAGTACGAAAAGTCATCTTGTGGATGTCGTCCTCATACATCCTAATCTGATTATAATCGACGCATAAATCTGGATTAGTAAAGTACCTAGCCCTATGCAGCTCATTAGGAGTGGCCAATGGACGGGTTGGATGGAATTTGGTCTCAAATTGACCCACTCATTTACTCGGGGATTGATGTGATTGTGACCCGCTATCCACCCACATTATTCTTCGGGTTGGGTCGAGTGGGAGGCGGATGGGTGCGGTTGAGTTGTGGATTAACCAGCAAAATTAGTTGGCTACATTTATTACAAGTTCCTCGAAAGTTATTAACACTGTAGAAATTTAGACACCTCCCACTTTGTCTCTAGTGGATCCGTGTAGTATTTCCATAAAATCATTCATTATTTCATCAATAAATTGTGTAAAGAAAGTTGACAATTTTTGCTACTTTGATATAATTAATAGTTTATAATTTGTATATCAATATCTAATGGATAGTACACAATATAGTAACGGATTGTAGTACAATATATTATTTATTCTCCATGTTTAGGTATATCATCAGTATGCGGTGTGGTTAGGAAATTTGATAACTATTCGACAATATAAAAAGAAACAACTTTTTTATGTGAGAATAAGGTGCGGGTCATTTGTGTGACCAGCATTCCATCCACCACCCACCCGCATAGGTGCAGATAGGAGATTTATCAATCCACAATCCACCCACATCAATCACCCACCATTGTGGTTCTGATTATTTGCGGATGTATCGATATCAAACCGCGGATCAACCACTCGAATGCCCACCCCTACAACTCATCAAGCATATCCACGACATTCGAAATAGGAGATCGGTCTTTGAAAATGGCCTTATTCATCAAACGATAATCCGTAAGTGCCACGACTCGTCCTTCTTCTTAACTAACAAAACCGGGGAAGAGAAAGAAATATTACTAGGCCGGATCAGCCTCGTATCCAACATTTCCCCGACTTGCTTATCAATCTTTGTATTATGCAAGTGGCCATACCGATAAGGCTTCACATTCACGGTAGGGGTGGGCATGCGATTCGGTTTTACCGAACTGAACTTATCAAACAGAAACTAACCTTATTAGGTTCAACTTCTTTGAACCAAAATGCTGACATAAATTCTGATTTTCCAACCCAGAGGTGATCTCCCTCCAGCGCACCATTCTCCCTCAAGCGGAACTCTCAATCCCACACTCCACTCCCACCCAACTCCATTTCCCCCCACAGCGGCACAGACACATAGCCCACACTCCACTCCCACCCGAGACCCGACTGATCAATTTCATCCATGCAAGTTATTGTCAATGGTTAGCACGTGTCAACAACTACCACATCCTAGACCAATTTTAACCTAAAACATAGTTATTAAAATATAGTACGAGAAAGTTAGGTATAAAATACATACGAGTATTTTACTTTGTCTCTAAGATAATTTTATGTTTAATAGTAAAGGGGTCTTCTTGAATGGGGAAAGGGGTCTTCTATTTATAGGCATCAGAGGACGAAGAAGATCACAGGCAGGAAGGGTCGAGATCATGGTCGCGATCTTCTGCATGGAGCCCGTGATCTTGAGACGCTAACTTTGCAGTTGTGATCCACGAGTCGCGGCCACACACTTTCTCGCGGTCTGTTTGTTCTTCGACCGTGTCTTGCCTGGGAATTTTTTTTGTTTCTCCTCGGCTGCTTCC